GCAAGAAGAATTTTCCAATTAAATTGCTTACTATTACTAATTACAATAGAAAAATTTTGCAGATCTAGTTGAGCTTTATAGACATGTAGTTATAATGTAGTATAATATTTCATATTTCAGTCAATATACATATATATTAGAATTATCATTTATTGATAATTAAAATTGTTGACAAAAAAAATGCACATCAAATAATATACATAGTAGAAAATATTGTTATTATTAAGGATGAGAATTTCTTTAATTTCAATCTTATCAATATTGAGATAATTACATGACGTAATTTACATAGGAGGCCTGTACTATAGTCACTTATCCAAATGCAATCACAGTTGCAATCATCATTATGTAGTGACAAACTAGTCCCATTGCCAGACTCAATTACAATTTCTTGCTTGTTACATCGAGTTTAGAACGGAACGACGAGAAGACCGACGAGTTTAGAAACGTCTCAATGTACGTCTAGATATGTAATATATGATTGCAGAGAAACATAATATAAAAATTATTATAAGTGCTAACATATAAATTCTATCTTTCGCAATAATTACATTAAAAAATTGTCTCATGTATATATATATATTATATATATACACATACCTATCCATAATTTTATTTTAACATTAATGGGAAGGAAATTCAATTCATGGATGCTGCTATATTTTTAGAATATTTCTGAACAAAATTTATAATTGTTTTCCATCATCAAAACTTACAGGAAAACAAATAGTCTACGCGAAAAAAATGTATTACTTAAACGATATGTTAGTTCAGAATGTCATTGATATTTTTAGGGATTAATATATTTGTTATGTTATTACGTTTCATCTGATCCAAATATCATTTGGTCTAGTTTTACGACTTTGTATGGCGGTATTTATTCTATATGCACGTTTACGCTTCACAGTCTGAGAGATTTGGTCGAGAACCACCGTAATCACCGATCGCTATTTTAGTACACGCGTAGAAGACTCGATAACTCACAAGCGAGGCTCGTCGACCCTGACTCAAATTCAAACAAGAGCCAGCTGCCGCCCATTGCCTAATTCAACGCATCTCGAAGTCCCAGATTAAAAGGAAAATCGGCAAACCTCTACGAATTCAATTATAAAGTTCATAAATAATTACCTGTATAGGCTGTGTGTCGACTTATTTGATACAATTTTATTTTTATTTATTTCTGAATCAGAGCATGTTAAATAATTTAACGTATTAACGTATTAAATATTTTTTTAATATACTAAAAATTATTGAAGTCTTCTATAAATTCACATTTAAACATAACCCATAGTCAATCATAACCCATAAAAAATTCCCATAAATAAAAATATATATATATCCAAAATTTAGCACTATTTAGAATAACTAACTATGTAATTTGTAATTAAATTTATTAAATTGTGCAGTATAAATAATATTTATACCGTACAATTTAATTAGAAATTCAATTATTCTAAATTTTTTTCTGGATATAGATAAATCGATTTAATTGGTTTAATTTAAAAAAAATAATGCATCTGAATCTTTTGAAGCCTGCACGAATGAGTACCTCGAAACGGAGAGACATTTTTCGTCTGAACGACTAGGAGCAGCTTCTCCGGTCGTTCGTAGATACATCGATTCGTTATCGAGATATTGCTTTCGTGCAGCCACCGACAAGAAGAGTGGTTGGATTCACGAAGATTTATGATTTCACCGAACATTCGCCAATTTTTTTTCTTTCTCGACTTTCTACCTACGATCGTCTCGCGTAGTCACGTTTGAATGTGCATACAAGCACAAAATGAGAATCGTTTGTTGTACATTATTTTCCTTGATGTAAAGAATAACGATGCATGATAAAGAAATATTCTAATTTAAGCTTTTTCGTTTTATTGGTTATTTTATTAAATATAGTAGACAGAGATAAATGTGGAATATAAAAAGCAAAGGATTAATTCTCAATTTCTCTGATATTATCATTATATTGAAAACATTATTGACAGTTAACAAATTTGATATAGCATCTATTGTAAATTCCTTAAAGTACAAAATGCAGTGATTCATTAATGAAGTTTTAGCGAACCACATCTATCACTAAGAATGACTACTCCGATTAAAGTGAAAATCGTGATCGTTGGAATAAAGGAGTCCATTCTGCGTTTCTTCCGCTTTGCAGCTTCGACTCTTTTGTGGGCCAGTCAGAGAAAATTTACTATCTTCTCGCGGTATCCTTAGCCAACGAACCGAACCACCGGGATGTATCAATCACTCGAGGCCTCTCCTACTCCTTCAGAAAGTTCAGTCATGTTCATGCTATGAAGTTGCATTAAACTTGTACATATGAAACAGGGTTCCTGAAGAAACGTATAGTACTTCTGAAGTTCACGATATATACATATATATATATATAATAAATATGAACGAAAATAGTCATGTTCGCCATTATACACTGAGAGAAATGATTTTGTTATAGGAACAAATCAAGGGAAAGCAAATGTGATATTTGTTAAAAAAACGATCGATTTGTTACGATTGCAAATTAATTCGTCAATGTAACAAATAATCAATAGTATCGCTAGCAAATAAGAGGCTCATATATATATAAAAGTCGTAGACGGTTGCAGGGTCTCAAATCGTAAGAAATTGACTAATCCTAGTCAAGTATTCTCCCTATATTTGACTGTGCTTGATTTCCTACGACTTAAGACTCCACGAATATGTAAACGAGCTAAAATCTATCCAAAAGATAGGTTAGATTCTACATAATTTGTTTCTGTTACTAATAATTGGTTGGTATAGCAGACTAGCAGCAATCACAACAACATGATTTGCTATATATTTACCGATCACCGGTTAAAGATACTGGTGGCTTGCTAAATTAACAAAATCTTTTCTCTCAGTGTACGACAATAACAGCAGCATTTTTATAAAACGTACTAAAATTCATCTATTGAGGAGATTATTCTAAATAATATTTCATTTACGTATTTGTACGATTTATGTTCTTGTTAATGTATATTTAATGGATTAAATAAAATTTATGCAAAAATGTCGTATGTATGTAAAGAATATGTAACGTATTCGTTGGAGCATCTCGAACATCATTTCTCTGAAATAAACAGTTCCAATATAATTGAATTTACAATATTGAAGTTTATTGTATGCTTCTCAATCCAATTTATGAAAATTACGCATTTTCTTTTGTTGTGCTTCGAAATAAAGTCATACATTGAATATTGCATTTACAAATTCTCATTTACAAATTCGATTTTATATGGGAATTATTCATAAAACAGTTGTGTTATAAATATTTTTATTGAGAATTTAAAGCTTATATTTCACATATTACATTTATCATAAATTAATGGACGAATATATCTGTAAATTTTGATTTATCAAATATATAAAGAAAAATAGATTACCGGTGAACGATAAAAAAATTAGAATTTTATCAATACCGTTATTTTAGAATTTTATTAGTATCGCAATAATATTATTGTAAGAAATAAGAAGCTTATAAGTGAGGATGTATATAATAAAATTCTGTAAAGGATACGGGTGGTGATATTATAGTATTCATATATGGATAATAATCTGATCGAGCCATTATATGATCCACGTTCGAGAGATAAGTCGTATCTAACGTTCTTTACTTAACTGGGATTTCGCTTGAAAGGAAACGATGTTTGTTCAAAACATTTGCCCCGGGATACCAGAGAATCGTGGATCAAAGGTTTTCCTCGCGTCCGGAAAGAGTCCGCCATTCCAACACGCTCGCCTTTTTTCCTCGTATTATCAACGAACGGTGCGCAGCAGTAAAGTGAAATCTGGCTAACGTGTTCTTGCCGCGAGCAATCTTGTAAAAGTTCTCTCGAAGCTCGCTTGAAAATCGATTTCTCAGAGAGATACGATATGTAGGAAATCGATTATTGGTCACTGAACCACCGCTACCAAAATGATTGCACCCTCAATATTCCGGTCAACGACGCGAGACTCGCGGTTTAACGCGCAAGCTACGATTATCTGATAAATTATTTATCTTCGATTAATTCGAATATTGTAGCCTCTCTACCACCAATCACAGACTTTTAACTCAAAAATAAGATACAAAGAATATGCATTACTGTTTTGCTTTTTTTCATACACTTACAATTATATATACAAATATTCATTATATTATTACATAATTATTCATTGTAATTAAATTATTTAAGACTCCTGTGTTCACTCATCACTACTATCTCAGATTACAATGTCAGAAGCGAGAAAATAACGCAATAAAAATTCTTGTAAAATATATAATATTAATACAATATTAATAATAATAATAATACAAAAACATGTTTCAATTAAGACACAATCGATAGAACCAACTTATAAAGTATATTAAAAACCCTTTTTTTGTTTCGTTAATTGATAAATAACCATATATCCGGAAATGAATTATGCATAACGAAAAACGAAAACTCTATTTACAGCTATGACAAAATGTCAAACTAATAATATGAACATATATAATTTAAAACAAGAAAAGATATTTTTCAATATATATTATAAGTTTCTTCTATCAATTGTAAATGTTGTTTTATTAAAAAGTATTTCCACTTAAATATAATTCGCAAGAATTTTTATTGTGTTTTCTTGCTTCTATCATCACACTCTAAAGTAATAGATTTTGCTCAAGTAGTTAGTGAACAGAAGCTTTAAGATTTTAATTCAACGTTTGTATTTTTTTTATTATTATGTCCGTTTCTATCAATGTAGCTTAATTTTAATCTCATTTCAACTAACACTTCATCTCTTTTTATAGTTCTAACTGTAAGAATTAAAAATAAATGAATAGTAAGTTCAACTAAGATTAAAGTTAATTTACATTGAAATGGGCGTTATTCATGCAAACTAAAAGGTCAAGTTTTTATTCAGTTCTACTTTAAATTCAAACAGAGCGGTCAACTTCCAAGACAATAAATTGTATTTTTTTAAATCCTATTGCTTTCACTATAACAGAGCTGACTTACCTTCCAAAACTCGTACACAGTTGGTCGAATTCGGATATGACTCAGGATAATTCGGACTATAAAATTCCCTCTTTATCGGGTCTCCAATCTGAAACTTCTCACAGAGATCCGGGACGTGTCTCATGTGGCGTCGCGGTATGGCGAAGTTTTTCGTATACGTCGTCATCGACGTCGTATTTTCCAAGTTTCCGCGTACGAGCGTCTCAAATGATAGTTGTGTCTCGGGCGTTGGCATTATCTGCATACAATGTAAAATTTCATTGGAATTTACGTGCAAGGGTCATTACGTGCGATACGGTATTTATAACTTATCCAATAATATATTTTTAAAAATTATGAGACAGATGAAGATGTCTGCATGAACAACTTTAACATGAGTAAGCATTTCGTAGCCTTTGTTACTGCGTGAGTGTCGCGTTAATTTGAGCTACGTAAGATTGAAAATTTATATGATGAATTATAAGCCTCTAATTGGAGATATCAAGCCGTTAATTAAATGGAAGCTCAATTCCGCAATTTGGGCAACTGGCATTGCAACAGTGCTAAATTATAGTTACCGAGCGCATTACGATATTGGAAACGGCGCTGAGTAATTACGACTATTATGTCGTGAGAGATATCGATATCAATGAGAGGTATCGTAGAGGAATCCATACTATTGTTTTGTTGATTGATATCTTGCTTACTGTTTTGTTCAAGAAAGATTTTATAAATATTTCTCTAGTCTTGACAGATATTTATAAAAAAAATAGTACAGATGTATGTACTTATGTAAACTTTTAATTCTATTTCATTAGTGAAATAATTTAAATAATGCGTCCCAATTATTATGATTCCAATTCCATTTTCAGAATTTAACAAATCGGATTCTAAAATAAAAAAAGTGAGAATATACGAGGAAATTTAATTACTGGTCCTGAGACATTATTCTGAACATTCAGAACATCTGTAGCCATAATCGTGACTAAATTTCCAAATAATCGCTACTATAGCTACGAGATTTGGTATGAATTACGTCATAGGAGCTTCTAGAAGTCGGCGACGTTCTGACGAGGTGATAGCCAATCGACGTCGATTCCGAGGACGATGACTCGATGGAAATCCGATTGGACGGATCCGTCTGGTTCGTTTCGCTGCTCCTGGAGGAGATGGACGGGTTATGGCTTGTGATCCTTGCGTCCTTGGTGTCATTGCTCCCCAGCGACTCCATCCTCCTCCCGTCCTCGTCTTCTTCGGACCTCTCGACCACAGTTCCTAGGAAACTCAGATCCGATCGAGTTCCAGGGCTTGATCTCTCTACGCTCCAAGAGCTAGTTTCTGGGAGCTTGCCATTCGAGGGTCTAGTCTCTCTCGCGGCGTGCTCCAAACTCGAAGATGGCCAGGATCGTGGCAACGAGGATCGACTAGTTTTTCGAGCGCTGTACGTGCTCCACCGCGGATCTTCAGTCTCTCCCGTGGATGCTCCAGTAACTGAAACAGTAATAATACTGAATAATTAAGCAGCGTACAATTAATTTCGGCAGAAACTTATTTAAAATATTTGCCTGTGATAGTTAAATAAAACTTTCGATTTAATTGCTATGTTATAATTTTAACACTTGAGTACAGAATAATAGCGGATGAGTTACTAAAGTTACAAAGACAGCAAATCAAAACAATACTATGATATCTCTTGCATCGTTAATAAAAGCTTTTAATAAGTTTGTAACTTAAAAGTATAACAAATTTGTGCGCAATAAGTTCTTTGCAGTATTTTAATATGTTCATTAATATTATTATTAAATTGACGATCAATTTAATTTACTATTTCAACTTCAGTTTATGATAGCGACAATATTTTGCGCGCAGTTTATATAACTAAAAAGTATATATTTAAAATTTACATATAAATATTATTAGTACTAAGATCTATCGGTCGTATTTGGTTCAAAGCGGAATATGTCATCTAGCAAAATAAGTATAATAAAAAAAATAGTACAGATATACGCTTATACAAACTTTTAATTCTATTTGTCAGTGGATAATTTATATAATGCTTCCCGATTATTGCGACTCCAGTTCTATAATTCGAAATAATTTAGCAAAATAGCTATCTAAAAATAACTTATAGTGAATAAATTCACTAGTTAGATTTTTAACTTTGTAAAGCTCCCCGTTAAGGTACTACGCGCGAAAGTAAATTAAAAAAATTAAAGTAGTTAATATATATATCTCAAATCGATTAGATATAAAGAAATAAAACCAAAAACAAATGAAAGAAAAGTTTGAAATAAGTATATTTTTATCAGACGTCTATGTAATTACTAGTGCAAAAAAATAACTTTATTAAAGTAAATTTTTTATACAAAATTTTCGAGTGACTATTTTTTAAAAATTTGAAAATTAAGTTTATTTTTCATTGTTTATACGGTGCAAAAATCAATTTGGTGGAACATATTAAAAAAGAAATAAAAAAGATAATTTAGTCTATATTAGTAATCTTTCTAATCAAATAAAATGTTAAATAAATAAAATGTATCATATATTTGTATAAAAATAAGTTTAACATTAGATATTATTTAACTTTCATCATTGTCATCATTTATAATAATATTTTAGCATCATTGTTTAGCCAACATAATATCTACAATCCAATGTTAATTAATAGCAGCATTCAAATATGGTAAAAAAGAGAAAAAGACATGTTTTTCTCGAGGATAATCGATTTCCATTTTAACGCGATTGAATGGAGTAACGATATATAGGTATATATGAGTAGCACACCGAAAGGCGGACAACTAAATTGGGAGTTTGAATTTCTCTGAAAATGAACGTGATATTAACAATTCTCGTATGCGCCTTTTAACTTTCCGTCATTCTCTTTTTTAATTTTCAACGACCGGTAACTAACGATAAAATTGAACGTCGCTCACCCGCATGAAATTATAAATAATTTGATTTGTAATAAAGTGATCCACTTTGATTTAACGAGGAATCAGTGCTGGTCTTTATGTTTCTGTTACAAAAACGTTTGCATCTATTTCAAATAAGAGTTATTGCTATTGTTAGATCATTGCAAAAATATTTACAATAGTATAGTAATAATTTACTTTAAATTCTTAAAAGAATAATTAAATATCTTGATAATTATATATATATATATTGTATATATATACATATATAATCACATATTTTATCTCAAATAATTTCTTGAAAACAAAAGCTCATATCAATGCTAACAAAAATGACATTATTATCTGATTTTATCTGCTTCAATAGTAACAATTTACATTGTATTCTTTAAAAAATAATGAAATATCTTGATAATTAATTACGTATTTTATCCCCCGAAGCTGAAATCAATGCTAACAAAAATTATTATCTGATTTTACTGCAGTATTCGTTATGCTTTTAATATGAATAATAGACTTAATATAAATGCGAAATGAGATTCAGACAGGCACCTTTTTGCTAAATATACAATAAGGATATAAATTGAATTAATTCACGCAATAGAGGAGTAATACTTTACAGAAGAGAAATACTATTTCGTGCATACCATCTCTTTGTCGAACGCATATTGCATCTTGGAAAGCAAGACGGCTGTCTATATATGATACTGCATTTTGTGCAACATTCAGACAAGAGTATCTCAATATAATACTTTAAAGTGTTCTTTTTTTCCTTTTATGAGACCGATACAACGTGCCTTTTCTCCTCAGGCTAAAACTTGATAACCTCATGCCACTATACCATCCATTGCATCTCAGTAGCTAAGCTCTTCTATTTTACTGGAGAAAGCTCTCGTCGTGTCTAGCATTATGAGGGACTTGCTCACAAATTTTTAAGTCGATGTCCTACAGAAGGTTTTCCTTTTATCATGCGATTCCAGAGTGTGACAAGCTAAGTTTCTGGCCGGAGTGCTTTTATCTTGTACTTCAGTCTTGATATCTACTTTTAAAAGATATACCGGATGGTATTTCTTGATACCAAATATAGCAAAATTAGAATAATTTATAGATAAATTTAAGTAAAATTTAATTGCTGTACTTTTATGAAACTGACCTTTTACTAAGTAATAATTCTGCGATAAAATTTTCAAATTTATTGCTTTTTTTACTAAAATAACACTAACTTCCAAAGAATATGTATCTACTTTTTAATAAGTAAAATTATTATATAAAATCATGTAATAATACACAAGATTAATAGAAAAAAGAGTATAGGGTATATAATCTTCCATTAAATATTTCAATTACTTTTGCAAATTTATTCTTCTTGAATACACCCAATACTTATTAAATCAGAGTTTCTGCACCGATTACTTTCTCACGATTGCCTTGTGATTCATAAACAACAGGCTTTAGGCATTCCGACATTATCGGTTTCTAGACTCAGGATAAAGGCTGAACGATTTCTTACTGAGATCCGAGTAACTGAGCACGAATAAGATCAAAATTTATTCGCTCCATTTACCGCTCATTTCTTAAAGACAGAATCAGAACGTAAAATAGCTATCTTCACACTGAGAATAATATTTAATTTTTGTGACTCATAATTGCATAGTAAAATAACAATATTTAAAAATTTTATTTTATATTACTTAATTATTGTTTTAGTTATTATTACTACAACGTAACGTAAGTAATAATAATTATATTTTTAGTTCTGTTAAAAAATATGTAATTAAAACTGAAAATAACTACAAATCATATTTAAATTATGGTAATTACACTTTTTTCTCGCAATACAGTTATTGTTATTATCTCAAAGTAGAGCTTACAATAAAGCGTAGAATTGGTAGCTTTATTTTATCCTTAACACTTCCACAAGATCAAACCTTTTTAATTTTTGAATTCATCAATTATGAACAAATTTTATAAAGTAAAATTTGATAATTTTAAAACAATCGTGACTCAATGTAATCAAATAATGGTTTTGATTAATCTAAAATTAGATAGATTATTGGATTTAATATTGCTATGTAATATGTTAAATCGTCATTATTAATATGATTAAATCGTCATTTTCAATAGAGATCTATAAAACAGAGATTTGGCTTTTTTTACTTTACTATTGTTTATATGTACTTTATTACCATTTATATGTACTTATGTACCGTAGTTGCTAATAAATTTCTTATTGAATCGATAAACTGATAATAGTGATAATGCATCTCGTTTTTTATTTGTAGTGTACTTTTATCGTGCATTATGTGAAATTTTAACAAACCATTGCCGAAGTTACATCGCTGAATTTCGAGAATTTCCTGCGACGCCATGTTTCAGAGGCGTCGGGTTTCTAAAAGCAGGAACGACGGTGGAAATCTACATCTACCTGCAGCGAGTAAATCAGATCCTCGCCTACTAGGTGTCTCGTTCTCTCACCCACTCGGCTATCTGGCCTCCCGTTTCTCGGCAAACAATTTTGTAGCTTCTTGTTTCTCTACCCTTGCACTATCTTTCTCGCGTTAGTTCCTCTTCGTCTTGCGTACGAGAATATTGCAGCACACCCGTGATAATCCCTTTTTCACTCAAGACATTCATCGCGCTGTTTACATCATCACTTTTTCTTCAAAGAACCCATGTTGCCCCTCTCATCTAGAAAATGGCCGCATTGTGCGCATCTCGCGCGAAACGAGCGATACTTTTGTGCTCATCATCACCGGCAACATAGTATTAATAATGACATAATATAAACTAAAGAGATAGAATTAATAGTAAAATTTATTTTTTTCTATTACTTATTAATGTTGCCGATTTCGTACGTATATATTACTTATATATTATTTATATGATTTCTATTTATTGTACATTATTTTATTAAACATAATATTTTATCATAATATATGTATATTATTTTATTATATATGATAGCTCCTTTTGAATAGTTACAGCATTCATAAAATTAAATTATCATTATAAAAATTTAAAAAATGACTTCATTCATGCTACTTATTTAATGCTTTAATTTCATGCAAAACCTAACAATAAGATATTTTGTATTTTTTAAGGTAAAGCTGTGTGTGTGTTCGAGTAGTATTCAAAGCAAGTTCTCTGTATTGATTATATATTTCATAATATGTAACATCTCAAGTGGTCCTTTCAAAATAACTATAAATTAATTTGTAATATACAAATTTATTCGTGAGAATTAAAAAAAAATTTGTGTAATCTGGACGAATTTGATGAGCAAAAGAAAATTTAATAAAATGTAGCAAAGCGATTTTAAACAATAAAAGCAATTTTAAACGAGCGTTGAATATCAACGGATGTAAAAATTGCGCAATTAAATATTGATTAAATAATAAATAAAACCAGCAACCACAGCTCATACGAATATTTGTTTGAAAAATCACAATTTTATTGTTCTATGATATCGAATTTGCAGAATTAATAATACCATTAAACAAATATTGATATATTACCCTTATGAAAAAATACACCCAATCCAACTAGGCGTTAGTGATTCGAAATGATATTTAAATTGAG